TTTATAATAAAATATTTCCGGCCTTCAGTTTTTCTCTTTTTCAGTATATTTAGTGCACTCGTCCGCCTCAATTGTCGAGGAGTCGACTGCGATGTCGAGTCCTCCTTCCGCTTGACACCTGTAAATCTCGCTTCCCCGAGCGAGCCAGGCTTTTTCCAGTTTAGCGTGCGAATCTCACCCTTCCCGAGCTAATTGGATGGGATTAATCTCTGACAGAGATTCACGCCGCCCGTCTAATCCGGCTCAGTTATGTCAGTTATGATTCCCTCCGTGATTTGCGCCTCGGTCGCTGCTCTCTCGAGGCTCTATATAAGGGCTTCTGGTAGCTCTGTGCTTTCTCACCATTTCATACCTCAAAAACCTCAAGCTATGAGCTTCAGGGACGGTGATCGTCGTTGGTCCCTCCGTAATAAGGAGCATGCCCGGCAGGAGGAGCTCCAGCGGAAGAGGGCGGCTAGCGGAGGTTACCTGGTAGGCGACTCCGCTTCTGATCCCATCGTGGTGCCTCCTGACATACTTGATCCGATGGTCGTGGACCCGAAGGAGGACGAGATGGTGCCCATGGTAGAGGATCCAGAGCCAGAGGGGGACCTAAACTGGGAGGCTCCTCCGCTTTTTGGCGTGGCCATGTCGCCGAGTGCTCTGGAGAAGCCTCTGCAGATGGTCGTAGATGGGAAGCCTGCCGTGTATCTGGATGAACTGCCCGAGCCCGAGCCTGAGCCGAGTCCATTGCCTTTCCGCCCTCATCACTATTTGAAGGGTCCGGAGCCGGTGCATCATGCGGAGGAGGAGGAAGTTAAGCCCTAGGCCTGTCTTTTCTGTGTAATGTCTATAGCCGAGTCCTCGGCTTTGTACCCCTGTCTTTATGGAATAAAATCTCGTTTTTACTTTTCGGATCCTGGTTTTTGTGTGTACCTTTGGCCGACTCCTGGTCGTTATGACCGACTCATGAACTTTGTCCGACTAAGTCCCGTGGGTGGGGGACTCGGCAAATTTAGTCGGCCGATCTTGCAACCTGAAGCTTGTCCGGGCCTCTTTATTTGGCCGGACCCGGCCGGGTCTCTTCTAGAAACTTCTAGCGTGATCTGGATGGGCCCCCATACCTTTTGCCCTGATGGGCCTTTGGTCTGGCAGGCCGGGTCATCGTCACTCAGCCTTGGCCTAGGGTAGACGCGCCGCTTGCAGGCTAGCCCTAGGCCTGAACCGTCGTTCCGCCCATCGAGGCATTAAATGCGGCATCCCTTCGACGTCTTGTCGCCTCCGATTCCTCCACTACGGAGGCGCCGCGTGGCAGCCTCTTGGACTTCTTTCTCCCTTTAAAAGGCTTTTTCCTTCCATTTTTCCTTTTTAATTCTCCTACCAAGCTTCTGCTTCTTTCATCGCCTTCCCAGCCTCAGCTTCAATCTGTAAGTAATGTCTTCCTCTTCTCATTCTTCTTCTTCCTCCCGCCGGCCGTCCTTTGACAACCCGGCGGGGACTTCTCCGTCGTCCTCTTCTTCTTCTTCCGTCGTTCGCCGCCTGGAAATGCCGGCGGACTTCCAGGCGGTGTCTTCTTCTTCCCTCTTAGCCCCTTCTTCTTCTGGGGCGGCCACTCCGATGAGCCCAGCCCCGTTAACTACGGTGGCGGCTTTGCCGGGCGGCGTTATACGGCCACGAGGCAAGTTTGACTCGGTTGTTCGGCCGTCCGGTCTTCCATCGTCGGCCACAGCGGCGGACCTAGATATGGCCCGCTTTCTGCTTGGCCCTTCGGCCATGGTCGTCGCGGCGGAGGGCCGGCCTATTTACGACCCGTCGGAGGGTTTTGTGGGTATTCATTTGCACTCGGTTGCATTCGGCTTCCGAGTGCCCCCACACCCATTTCTTTCGCTTCTCTTCCGGCATTATAACTTGGTCCCGGGCCAGTTAGTGCCTAACTCCCACCGACTCCTGACCAGCTTCATCAATCTCTGCCATTGGTGGAAGTGCGAGCCAGATTTGGACCTATTCCGGTACCTCTTTACCGTAAACAAGGTCGGCTCTCACTCGCCCGGCTTTATCCAAGTCGCCGCCCGTCCGGGACGTCAACTTTTTGAGGGGTTGTCCGACTCGATAAAGGAGTGGAAGCCCCTTTATTTCTTCGTTCGACCTCGCTCCTCTTCCTTCACCTTTCCGACCCTTTGGCCGGCGACTTTATTCAAGCCCTGCTCTCGGCGCGCCGTCTTTACGGAGGATGCTGTCATGGGCGGCGACTTCTTGAAAGGCTTCGGGCCGTACTCCGTTAAGTACTGGTCTCGAGTCCGGGCCATGGCCAAGCATGGCCTTCTGCCGGAGGGCGCCGCCACCATAGGTAGCGTCTCTTTCCTTTTCCTTCTCGACTTGCTTTTTGTTTTCCCCGGGAACACTCACAAGTGAGTGTATTTCTTTTACAGGTCCGTACGACTCCGATACCTCCAGCTCCGGCGAAGCAATCGAACCGACTCCTGAGATGGCAAACAGGGCGGAAAAGATGAGGCGTCGCCTGACGCAACGTTCCACGGGTCCGGCCGCTGCGTCCTCATCTCAGCCATCGCCGGCGGTCCGGCCGACTCCTGCATCTTCCCACAACGTGGTCGACCTCACACCTTCGCCCGTGGTGTCGCCCAGTCGGCAGCCGCCTCCTCCCTCTACTGAGAGCCCGAGTTCTAAGCGGCCTGCTGAGCCTACGGAGGGGCCGGCTTCAAAGAAGATCAGGCTGTGCCACGAGGTGGACGAGGACGCCCAAATCTGGATGGGCAACACCTCCGTTCGCAAGTGGTGCAAGGATGTCCTTTTGCCAAAGGATGTGGAGTCGACCCGTGCTCTTGGCGACGGGTTCATCATCGAGGCTTTGCTCCGGCAGTCGTATCACTCATTCGGCCTTTCCCTCTGTTTACTCTCTTTTCTTTTCTTTTCTGTTCGACTGACGGCTGGGTGTGCAGGACCTCGCCCTCCAGATGGAACTGGGCAATCGGTTCCAGGGCTATAGGAACGATATGCGGGCTATAACCGCCAAACAGCGCCAGACAGAGGAATCTCTTCTGGAAGAGCAGGCGAAGCAACTCAAGATGGTGGAGGTGCACAACGCCGAGCTGCTGAGGGTCACCCGTCAATGGGAGGAGGAGAAGGGCAAAGTGGCCACGATCGCCGCGACTTCCGTCGCAGATTATAAGAAGTCAGCGGCCTTCGAGGCGGATGTGCAGGCGGCGGTGGCAGCTCGAAGGAGAGAGGTGGCCAAGGAGTGGCTGGCGACCCCGGAGGGCGATGACTTCCTCCTCGACCTGGGCGAGCGAGATTACCGCCTCGGCTTCCGCGAGGCGTAGATGGAGATTTACGCCACCTTGTTGGCCCGCGATCCTTCGTTCACTCCCGAGGGCTGGGGCCTCAAGCCGGTGCTGGACGCTGATGGGCCGACTGCGCCTACTGACCCGGCGACTCTTCCTGCGGCGACGCCTCCAGAGCTTCCCGAGTCCCTTCCTCAGGCGGAGGATCCTTCCTCTGCTCCCCTTGCTGGACCATCGGCGGGGGCGCAAGTTGAAGGGGTCGCCGTCGATACCCCTTCCACTGTAACCTAGGGTCTTTTTAGAATAGACCTTCTTTTGTAAGGGCTGGCCTCCTTATCGGCCGTATTTTAATAAAGAAACAGTTTTTTCATCTCCTTATCGGGCTCTTTTAATATTGACATTCTTTTAAGGCTTCGACCTATGCTTTTCCCTCGCCGAGCTCCTTAGTCAAGGCGGCTCTTTCGCGCTTCCTCCGAGAAACGGCTAAGGGCTTGGGCTCTTGTCTCCCAGCTCTTACTCGCCGAGTCCCTTAGTCGAGGCGACTCCTTTCAACTTTTCTTTCGGAAACGACCAAGGGACTGGGCCCTTGTTTCCTATCTTTCTCTCGCCGAGTCCCTCAGTCGAGGCGACTCCTTTAGGCTTTTCCTGTTCTCAGAAACGGTTTAGGGTCAGTGCCCCGTCGTTTCTATATATATACTTGCCGAGTCTCTCAGTCGAGGCGACTCCTTTAGGCTTTTTCTGTTCTCAGAAACGGTTTAGGGTCAGTGCCCCGTCGTTTCTATATATACTTGCCGAGTCTCTCAGTCGAGGCGACTCCTTTTGGCTTTTTCACGGAAACGTCTAAGGGTCTGGGCCCTTGTTTCCTATCTTTCTCTCGCCGAGTCCCTCAGTCGAGGCGACTCCTTTTGGCTTTTTCACGGAAACGTCTAAGGGTCTGGGCCCTTGTTTCCTATCTTTCTCTCGCCGAGTCCCTCAGTCGAGGCGACTCCTTTAGGCTTTTTCTGTTCTCAGAAACGGTTTAGGGTCAGTGCCCCGTCGTTTCTATATATACTTGCCGAGTCTCTCAGTCGAGGCGACTCCTTTTGGCTTTTTCACGGAAACGTCTAAGGGTCTGGGCCCTTGTTTCCTATCTTTCTCTCGCCGAGTCCCTCAGTCGAGGCGACTCCTTTAGGCTTTTTCTGTTCTCAGAAACGGTTTAGGGTCAGTGCCCCGTCGTTTCTATATATACTTGCCGAGTCTCTCAGTCGAGGCGACTCCTTTAGGCTTTTTCTGTTCTCAGAAACGGTTTAGGGTCAGTGCCCCGTCGTTTCTATATATACTTGCCGAGTCTCTCAGTCGAGGCGACTCCTTTAGGCTTTTTCTGTTCTCAGAAACGGTTTAGGGTCAGTGCCCCGTCGTTTCTATATATATACTTGCCGAGTCTCTCAGTCGAGGCGACTCCTTTTGGCTTTTTCACGGAAACGTCTAAGGGTCTGGGCCCTTGTTTCCTATCTTTCTCTCGCCGAGTCCCTCAGTCGAGGCGACTCCTTTAGGCTTTTTCTGTTCTCAGAAACGGTTTAGGGTCAGTGCCCCGTCGTTTCTATATATACTTGCCGAGTCTCTCAGTCGAGGCGACTCCTTTAGGCTTTTTCTGTTCTCAGAAACGGTTTAGGGTCAGTGCCCCGTCGTTTCTATATATACTTGCCGAGTCCCTGGGGAGGATTGACTGCAACCCACGCACTTTTATTCAGATTTCTCGGAGTCCTCGAGTTCATACATGGCCTATCATGGGCTACTGATAAAACCTTTTCAAATGTGCTGCATTCCATATACGGTCTATAAGCTTGCCCTCCATGGTTTCTAACTTGTAAGTTCCGGCCCGAACTACGGTCGCGATGCGGTACGGTCCTTCCCACTTGACCGCGAGCTTGCCTCCTTCGGTGGGCTGGCTGGCTTGTCGATCCCGCAGCACTAGATCGCCAACCTGGAAGGTTCGCGGGCGAGTTCTGCGGTCGCGGTATCTTTTCACTGCCTGCTGGTACTCAGCCATTCGCGCACTTGCGGCTTCCCTTCTTTCTTCTAGAAAATTTTTCTCAATCTGCAGGCTCTCCTCATTTGCTGCGTCCGAGTAGGTGCGAACCCGATGGGTGGGTTCGACCACTTCGACGGGAATCTTGGCCTCAAAGCCGTATGCGAGCGAGAACGGACTCTCTCCCGTCGCTCTCCGCTGGGTAGTGCGATAGGCCCAAAGGACTCGATCAAGCTCGTCCGCCCAGTTTCCTCGGACGTCTTCAAGTTTCTTCCGGATCCCATCGACCAGGGTTCGGTTCACATTCTCCACCTGTCCATTCGCCTGGGGGTAGGCCACCGATACCTTGGTATGCTTGATACCGTGTCGGCGGCAGAATTCGGCGAACGCCTGGCAATCAAACTGTCGCCCGTTATCGCTGACGATGTGCTCGGGCAAACCGTAGCGACAGATCACCTTTTTCCACAGAAAACGTCGACACTGGTATTCGGTGATGGTAGCCAGGGGCTCCGCCTCGACCCACTTGGTGAAGTAATCGACGGCCACGACACAAAACTTCAATCCTCCCGGGGCGACGGGTAATGGTCCCAACAGGTCTATTCCCCACTTGGCGAAGGGAATGGCAGTGGTGACCGGCGTATAGAAGGTGGCTGGCCGAGTGTCTTTCCTGGCGAATGCCTGACAAACGCCACATTTGGACATCCGTTCAACGCAATCTCGCATCATGGTCGGCCAGTAATACCCTTGAACGACCAATTTTCGGGCGAGCGTGTGAGCACCCTGGTGCGCAGCGCAAATGCCTCTGTGGGCTTCATCCATTACCTTCTCGGCCTCAGGCTTAAGTAGGCATTTCAACAAGGGCCCTCCGAACGACTGCTTATATAGGTCTCCGTCTACGATCCGAAAAGAGGGAGCTTTCCGCCGAACCCTTGCGGCGACTGATGGGTCAGCTGGCAACTCGCCTGTTTCCTTGAATCGCCGGATGTCATTTATCCAGAACATCTCCGGGTTTTTCTCTCGATTCCACCCTTCGATGCTTACTTGCTGGACATCTAGCGGCGCCTCTTCGACGCTCGGCCGACTTAGCTCCTCCTTCTGGCAAATCTTTATTAAGCGGTCCGGCACCCCTTCCATGGCGATTTTTGACAAGATGTCGGCCTCTACGTTGTCCGCCCGGGATATGTATTCTATTTCATAAGCTTCGAATCCCTTCAACATCTTGTTGGCACATTCTTTGTACAACGCCATCCTCGCGTTCTTAGCTTCGCACGTACCCGAGATTTGCCCGACTACTAGTCGGGAGTCGGTTTTGACTCGTAGCCGTTCGATTCCTAGACCCTTGGCGAGTCGGAGGCCATTCAATACTGCTTCGTACTCGGCCTCGTTATTTGACGCAGGGAACAGGTATCTTAGGGCGTAATACAGCCGAAATCCCTCCGGGGTGATGAGCACAACGCCGCCTCCGCGGTGCTGTCGACTTGATGCTCCGTCCGCATGCATCTCCCACCACTCGCCCGAGGTGCTTTCCGAGGCACTTTCCTTCTCCTCCTCGCTCGCCGTACACTCGACCAGGAAGTCGGCCAAAGCTTGGCCTTTGATGGAGGGCCTGGGTTGGTACTCGATCCCGTATTGAGTCAGCTCGACGGCCCATTTCACTAGCCGGCCGGAAGACGAGGGGTTCCGTAGTACACTCCCGAGTGGTTGATCCGTCAGGACCCGGACGGTATGGGCTTGGAAGTAAGGCGCCAACTTGCGGACGGTGACCACCAAGGCATACACGATCTTTTCCAGGGCAGTGTACCGTGTCTCGGCAGCTTTCAGTGAGCGGCTTACATAGTAAACCGGGTGCTGGACTCGGTCCTCCTCTCGAACCAACACCGAACTTACCGCTTTGGCCGAGGCGGCGAGGTACAACAGTAAGGGCTCGCCCTCCTGGGGGGTAGACAGTACTGGGGGAGTCGATAGATACCGTTTTAATTCCTCGAACGATTGTTGGCATTCGGCAGTCCAAGCGAATCCCTCTTTCTTCTTCATGGCTTCGAAGAAAGGCACAGTCTTATCCGCCGATTTGCTCAGAAAACGGCTGAGAGCGGCCAGTCGTCCGGTCAAGCGTTGTAGGTCCTTGATAGTAGTAGGAGGCTGCATGTCGAGGATGGCTTGTACCTTCTCTGGGTTAGGCTCAATGCCTCGTTTGGTGACCATGTAGCCCAAGAACTTACCGCCCTGGACGGCGAACGCACACTTCTTGGGGTTCAGTCGGAGGTTATACTTTATCATTACTTTAAAGCAGTCGGCTAAGTCCTCCGAGTGCTTGTCCTCCTCTCGACTCTTGACAAGCATGTCGTCGACGTACGCGGCCATCGACTTTCCTAGCAGGTGGTGGAATAACCGGGCGACCATTCGGGTGTACGTAGCCCCGGCATTTTTGAGTCCAAATGGCATGACTTGATAGCAATACACTCCGTCCGGAGTTAGGAAGGCGGTCTTCTCCTCGTCTGCCGGGTGCATGAATATTTGATGGTACCCTCTGAAGGCATCCATAAAACTGAGCAACGCCGACCCGGCCGTCTCGTCGACTAGCTGGTCGATCCGGGGCAGAGGGAACGGATCCTTTGGGCACGCCTTGTTAAGATCTGTGTAGTCTACACACATTCGCCACGTCGGGGGCTTGGGCACAAGGACCACGTTAGCCAACCATTCCGGGTACTTGACCTCACGGACGTGTCCGGCTGCTAACAGCGTGCTGACTTCTTTCTTCACAAACTCCCGCCGATCGTTTGCCAAATATCGCTTCTTTTGCACGACCGGCCGGTGCTCCGGGTCTACGGCGAGTCGATGCGATATGACTGATCGATCCACGCCGGGCATATCTTCTGGGCCCCAGGCGAAGACCAGCCGGTGCTCTTGGAGTACTCTCGTGATTTCCCCCTTTAACTTCTCCGAAAGGCCGACTCCGATTCTCACTCGCCTGCTTGGCTGCGCTGGGTCCACTTCAACTTCCTCTAGCTCGACGGCCGGCTCCGGGCGTGGTATCACTGCTTTCTTAGGGGGCCTCTCGGTGATCTCATGGACCTGCATCCCACGCTTGCCCATACCTCTACATGCCTGCAGATAACAGTCGCGGGCGACCTTGCGGTCACAACGCACCGCTCCTATTCCGTTCGGCGTGCGGAATTTCAGGCACAAATGTTCGATTGAGATCAGAGCCCCAAGATCTTCCAAACCCGGGCGGCCGAGTATGGCGTTGTGTGAGCAGGCTAGATCGACCACGGTGAACTTCATGCTCAACTGCTGCACGTTCGAATAGCTGCCGATTTCCACAGGAAGAGTGATGGACCCTTACGCCTCCACCGAGTCCCCGGTGAAACCGGCGAGGGGGGTATTCACGGGCCTGAGCTGTTCTCGGGTCAACCCCATCTTGGTAAAGGTCTCCAGGTACAGTACGTTGACGCTGCTCCCGGTGTCGACCAGGATTCGGCGGACGACCACACCGTCGATGTCCATGGCGATGACCAACGCGTCTCGATGCGGGGTTTCCCCGGCTGGCAGGTCTTTATCGGTGAACACGATGGGCTCCCGACATGTCTTTTTGGAGCTCCCTTCTCGACCATAGACTGTTCCGACGTATAGCTGCCGAGCCCAGGCTTTTCGGGTGTTCGCGGAATCGCCGCCTTCCGGCCCGCCGACTATCATGTTAATGACCGACTTCTGGCGCCATTGGGCTTCGTCCTCTTCGGAAGCCGGCTGCTTGCCTCGACTGTTTTCCGAGCTGGCGACGGGTCCCTCACCTCCTCGACCGGTCGACCTTCGCTTCCATTGGTTAGGGGGCGGTGTCCCTTGCTGGATGATCCCCTCCATAATCTTCTTTAGATAGTAGCATTCTTCTGTGCTGTGAGTATAAGATTTGTGATAGCGACAATATTTAGAAGTCTTACCCGTATCCTCGTCCGCTGCTCGGTCGTCCATCGGCGGAGGCGGAGGCGGGGCGACCGCCTGTACTTCGCGGACTGGTTGCTCTGGAACCGGCCGATAGGTGCGAACGACGGGTCGGTCATACGGTCGCCTGACCTCGGGTCGCCGGGCGGCATCCGAACGCCTTTCTCTCGTTTCCACCCGCGTCCTTTTTCCGCTGGCGGACCCACCGACCTCACGCTGCCGTTTATGCTTCATGGCCTGCTCTGTGTTGGCCCTCTTATTGGCCATCTGGACAGCCTCCGCGTATGTCGCCGGGCGGTTGTCCCTTAGATCTCGATACAGCTGTCCGGATCGCAAAGATTCAATGAAGAAGGTGAGCGCTGTTTGGTCCTCTACCTCTTCTATCGACTGGATCTCCTTCTGCCAGCGAGCAAGATAGGCTTTCAAGGATTCGCCTTCATCCTGATGGATGTCGCCTAAGTGCGTCAGATCCTTCTGTGGCTTGATGTTAGCGGCATAGTGGCTCATGAAGCGGTCTGCCAGTTCTTCAAAGCTGTGGATCGACCCTGGGGGCTGACTTACAAGCCATCTTTGGGCGGGCCCCTTCAGCGTAGGTAAGAAGGCACGGCACATGACCGGATCTCGCACTCCTAGGACTTGCATCTTAGCTTGGTAACTCAATAGATGTTCTCGCGGGTCGCCTGATCCGTCGAATGTGGCTTGCTCCGGGAACTTAAAGTCGCCCGGTATCTTGAAGGCCATGACCTCGTCCGAGAAAGGCAGGGCGGTTAGCAACGTACGCCCCGGGGATTTGGCTTTTCCCTCCATCCGTTCTCTTAGATTTCGTACCTCTTGTACTAGGTTGGCCACTTCGACCCTTTCCCGGGTGCGATTTCCCGTGGATTCCGTGCTTTCGCCGACTTCAGACTCAGCCGGTTGGGCAGGGTTGCGAGGGGGTTGCTCCACGCGGCGAGTCTCAGTCCCGGCCCTTTTGGCTCGGCTCTTTTCTCGTGCAGCTTGCCGGTCGCGGACGACTAATGGGGCGCGACTGGGCTCCCTCCGGCCTAATCGCTCTCTTGCCGACCGACGGCCGACGCTGGGTCCTAGCCGGGAATGAACGGATTGCACCGGCTGGCTTTCAGCCCGTCGGCTCAATTGCCGGTTGTCTGGTCTCTGAGGCGGTCGCAGCTCGCGTTGCTGCTGGCGAGTGACGGACTGTTCTCTCACTCCTAGACTTGCTTCCGCACAGGCGCGCCCGATTGCGCGCAACTGCTCCGGGGTGAGCAGTACTTGAGGTACTTGCGGGTTTCTCTGCGGCGTCGGCGGCGGTGTCGTCTCGTTTTCTTGGCTTCGGGCATTTCTCCTATTCAGCTGGTTTCTCAAGTCGGCCTCCCGTCCGTTGTCTTGACGGCTCGACTGTTCCTCGCTTCCTGCCATATCCGGGGTTTGCCTGATTCAACTACTGTTCCTCGGACTCGCCTTACTCAAGAGGACACGTGACTCTTCGTTTCGTTCCCCACAGACGGCGCCAGTGATGGTTTTTGGGTTTTCGGGCCCAAGGAGGTCCAACACAACCTTAAGCTGGAGGATACACCTTTCACAAAAGGGTTTGAATCTTAGTAAAATATGATGCTTAATAGTATTTGTTTATTCCCTCTCCGGGTTCTGGAATCTGCCCTATACAATGGTGGAGGAGCCCCCTTTATAGTGGCTCCTCCTCTACTGTCTTAAAGGCTCATGATGGCCGACTTAAAGGGTACACTCAATGCGCCGAGCCGTTGGGCAACGTTACAGACTCTGCCAACGGCTCTCTTTGGCTAGTAACTGGCGGACCGAGCCCGGCCTTTAATGCCTCAACGGCTCCTTGTCTTAACTGTGTTGAAGGCTCCCTCAACGGCTCTCTGGACCGAGTCCTCTCCTAGGTCGGGCCTGGGCCGACTCCTCATCCCCGTTTGGTATTGGGCCGTCCTTCTTTGGACTTGGGCCGAGTCCTGGACCCGGCCCATGCATTCTTTCTGGGCCTCTTTTCTTGGGCCGGGGTTCTCACCCCATCAATGCCCTTGATGGGTTTTGGATTAATTGCCTCTGCATGCCCATCGCTTTGATTTGCAGTGAAATTCGTTCTTCTTTCCCCCTTATTCCTTGCTTAATTACATGTATTGATGGGGAAACAATGCTTAAGGTAAAAAATGTTTTGCCCAACAAAGGAGGAGATTGAAATGCTTAAGATAAAAAAATGTTTTAGATTTATTAGCTATTGAAATGTTATTATGCTTTTTATTTCTTTTTAGGGTTATAAAGACCCAAAGGATAAAGCTGGGAAGCTGAAAGAAATATTTCGGGATAGAGGCGCATAGACTTACAGTGTGTAGCGGAGGAGTACAAATTGCTTCAGATTTCTTTGTAAACTTTTCCTTTCTTTATTCACATTTACAAATTGCTTAGTGTGTAATTTTGTTAAACATTTCTTTGGTAAACGTTTCCTTTCTCTGTCGGTAATTTTTTGTTCATTTGTTTTATAAAATTAGCTACACACACACACACACACACACACACACACACACACACACACACACATATATATATATATATATATATATATATATATATATATATATATATTTATAATTCTTTTTTTTTCAAAAAAAGAAAAGGGTAACTTTCCGACGCACCCATTGCGAAGAGGGTGCCTCGGATATAATTATTAAAAAAAAAAGTTTCCAGGTGGGTGTCGCGAATAGTATTTAATAATAAATTATTAATTGACTTTCCGAGGCACCTGTTACGCAGCAGGTGCCTCGGAAAGTCTGTATTAAAAAAAATAAAAAATGCTTCTTTAGTTTTCCGCGACACTTTATACAGGCTAGAATCCGAGTCACCTTTACAGGTGACTCGGAAAGTGTTTTGTAGGAGAATCGAAAAGTTTTTTTTTTTTTTTTTTTTTTTTGTACTAGTGTTGGTAAGAACTTATTCGATGGTCTTCAATATGAACGTAATATGGATATGTTTCAGAAGCTTGATCGTGCATTAAAAGAGATTAATGGTTTGACTTATGACGAAATGGATCGTATTTCATTAAAAGCCCATTGATCATCCTAATAAAGTGCATTTTTTTCCTCAGTCTTGATCCTATCAAAGACTACAGTGGATAACAAGATTTCTGGTGTTGTGGAATATATGCCCCACTTTCCACGACACCTTCACAAAATATGGGATTGGTGCACATATATGTAGCTCCAAGATTATCACACCATAACTTTGGAACAGAAATATTTGGGACATAAAGTTCACATAAAAGAGACAAAATCCATGTTACCTCAGCACAAACATCTGTTAGAGCTTTATATTCGGCCTCTGTAGAAGATCTAGCAACAGTTATTTGTTTCTTGCAGACCCATGACACAAGATTAGAACCAAGAAATACAGCAAAGCCACTTGTATATTTTTTATCTTCTGGACTGCTAGCCCAGTCGGAATTAGAAAAGACATGAATTTCTCTTGAAGTTGACTGCATGACTCGTAAACCAAAATTAACAGTTCCTTTAACATATCTTAAGACTCTTTTTATATGCTCCCAGTGAGTAATGGTAAGAGCATGCATGTGTTGATATAACTGATTGACGGCAAAGGAAAGACCAGGACGAGTGATAATTAAATACTGTAGAGCACCTGCTAAACTCCTGTACTGTGTGGCATCATCATATAAATCTGTGTTGGTACTCATGATTTTGGAGGAAGAAATAGGAGTAAACAATGGTTTACATTCTGCCATTCCAACACGTTTTAGAATGTCATGCATGTATCTCTGTTGCGAAAGCAAAATTCCATCCCTGCATTTAATTGCCTCAATTCCAAGAAAAAAATCCTAGTTCACCAAGATCTCTAATTTTAAACACAGCAGAGAGTTTTGCAATTAGTTGAGTGATTAGGTCCTGATTATTTCCCATCATAAGTATATCATCCACACAAATCAACAGATAAACACAATCAGATCTTTGTGAATGATAAAATAGAGACACATCCGTTTTCGATGCCTGAAAACTAATAGATAGTAGAAAAGTGTGCAAACGATTAAACCAGGCCCTAGGGGCTTGTTTTAGGCCATAAAGAGATCTTTTCAGTAAGCAGACATGATTTGGATGATGAGCATCAATATAACCAGGTGGTTACTTCATGTA